GCATTGGGATGCGTGCTTGGTCAATATGATGAAACAGGGAAGAAGGAGCGAGCCATTTATTACTTTAGCAATAAATGCACTCCATATGAGGCTCGTTACACTCTTTTAGAGAGAACATGTTGTTCTTTGACATGGATTGCTTAGAAGTTGAGACATTATTTGTTTTCTTATACCACATACCTTATTTCTAGGATGGACCCGTTGAAGTATATTTTCTAGAAAACAATGCCGACCGGAAAATTGGCTAAATGGAAAATGCTTTTCAGTGAGTTTGACATTGTGTATGTGACTCAAAAGGCGATAAAAGCACAAGCCTTAGCTGATCATCTTGCGGAGAATCTAGTTGATGAGGAGTATGAACCGCTCAAGACTTATTTTCTCGACGAGGAAGTTTCATTTGTGGGAGAAGATATTTCTGAAGCCTACCCTGGTTGGAGAGTATTCTTTGATGGAGCGGCAAATCACCAAGGGAAAGGTATCGGAGCGGTCTTAGTATCAGAATCCGGTCAACACTATCCTATGGCAGCTAAACTCCGATTTGATTGCACGAACAACATGGCAGAATAGGAAGCTTGTATCCTTGGTTTGAAGATGGCCATCGACATGAATGTTCATGAGCTTCTGGTTATTGGAGACTCAGATTTGTTGATTCATCAGGTTCAAGGAGAATGGGCCGTGAAGAACCCAAAGGTCACACCGTATGTGCAGTATATACGGAAGTTGTGCAAGAGATTTCGCAAGATTGAGTTCAGGCACATCCCCAGGACACAGAATGAGTTGGCCGATGCTCTTGCCACCATTGCGTCAATAATTAAGCATCCAGATACAAGTTATCAAGTGGATATAGAGGTAAAAGAACAGCCGGTTCATTGTTCAAACGTCGAAGCGGAACCAGACGGTTTACCTTGGTATTTTGACATCAAGAAGTACTTGGAGGCCGGAACTTATCCTGAGAATGCAACGTTCAACCAGAAGAAGTCAATACGCCGTATGGCCCTCAATTTCTTTGCAAATGGGGAAATCCTTTATAGGAGGACTCCAGATTTAGGTCTTCTCAGATGCGTGGATGCTAGTGAAGCTGCAAAGCTTCTTGAACAGATGCATGCTGGAGTTTGTGGTACTCATATGAATGGACTCACTTTGTCGAGAAAGGTCCTTCGAGCCGGCTACTTTTGGATGACTATGAAACATGATTGTTGCAAGTTTTTGCATAAATGTCATAAATGTCAAGTGCATGGAGATTTGATTAGAGTGCCACCACACGAACCTAATGCTATGAGTTCACCTTGGCCATTTGTAGCCTTGGGCATGGATGTCATTGGTCCAATAGAGCCAGCCGCCTCTAACGGACACAGATTCATTTTGATTGTCATTGACTACTTCACCAAGTGGGTGGAAGCAGCTTCGTACAAATCGATAACCAAGAAAGTTGTAGCTGAATTCGTTCGCAACAATTTGATATACAGGTTCGGAGTACCCGAATCCATCATCACTGATAACGGAGCAAATCTCAACAGTTACTTGATGAGAGAGATATGTGAATAATTCAAGATTACCCACCAAAACTCAACCGCTTATCGTTCCCAAATGAATGGAGCCGTAGAAGCCGCCAACAAGAACATAAAGAAGATTCTGAGGAAAATGATTGATAATCGCAGAGGATGGCATGAGATGTTGCCATATGCTTTGTTGGGTTACCGAACGACTGTCAGAACATCAATTGGAGCTACTCCGTATCTGCTAGTATATGGAACAGAAGCAGTTATACCTGCAGAAGTTCAAATACCTTTATTGGGAATCATTAAAGAAGCTGAATTGGACGATGCTGAATGGGTCCGCAAACGGATTGATCAGTTAACATTGATTGAGGAAAAGAGAATGATTGTTGTTTGTCATGGACAACTGTATCGACAGAGAATGATCCGTGCTTACCACAAGAAAGTAAGAGCCAGAATATTTGAAATTGGTCAGTTAGTTCTCAAACGCATTTCCCCTCATCAAGATGAATATAAAGGGAATTTGCACCAAATTGGCAAGGACCCTACATGGTTCGCAAAGTATTATCCGGAGTGTCTTAGTCCTGTCGGAGATGGATGGCACCGAATGGCCAAAATCGATCAATTCAGATGCTGTACAGAGATACTACGTGTAAAGTTTCAGTTTGTATTTCTGTCATTCCCTTGTAATCGTTCTATTTGCTTGTAATCTCCTTGTTTAGAATTTTATCCCTCTTGTAATGAACTATGTCTGACCTGAATTCTCAAGAATGAGATACGTAGGCGGCCTATGTCGGCCTCGGTCACTTCCTTATCCCCTTTTAATATTTCTTTGTAATGAACTACGTCTGACCTGAATTCTCAAGAATGAGATACGTAGGCGGCCTATGTCGACCTCGGTCACCCCCTTTATCCTCTTTTAATATTTTCCTTTGTATTTGAACTACGTTCGACCTGAATTCTCACGAATGAGATACGTAGGCTGCCTATGTCGGCCTCAGTCGGTTTCTTTGTTAATTTTCCCTATTTTTGTTAATCCTCGAGAGGGGGAACTACGTTTGACCTGATTCCTACATCAACGGGATACGTAGGCGCCACAAGGGTTCGGTCATATATCCCGTAAGATTTTTATTTTTTCTTTACAATAGAAACTGGGATAGAATTTTTTGAGAGGGACTCAAAAATTCTCAAGAAAAAGATTTTCCCTAATAAGTCAAGACTGAAGTTACTTTGAGGTTTGCAACTGGGACATAATTTTTGAGAGGATCTCAAAAATTCCATGATTTATTCATCAACAGTTCAAGATACCGAGACGATCAACTAGGACAGAAATTTTTGAGGATGGCCTCAAAATTTCAACAAGGTTCATCGGCAGTTTAGAACAACTTTGAATACTTCCCAACAAGTAATCAGATAGATCTTGAAACATCAACTCCAATGGTGTTCATTAAACTCGACGTGACATGACACTTGGCAGTGACCTTTTTTAAACATCACTTTTGAAAATCTATTTTCCTTAAAAAAAAATTCTTTCATGTTTCAATTATTTTGGGATAAAAATGTTTTGTCTTATCTATCAAGAAGCGAGAGATCAGAAAAATCAACCGGAGATAGCAAGACAAGAAGCAAACCACCAAAGAGATCAACACAGATCAGTTCATTTTTAAACTGACAATTTTTTATGTGGATGCAGGAAAAGTTTTTATGCTTCTTATACCAAAGAATTGGGAATATGAGTAGCATTATGCCATTCAAATCCTCAGCAAAGCGAGGATCATAATGAACATTGCAACTATTGTTCGGAGATGGAACAAATGAAGAGAGCGATATTATATTTTTCCAGCAACTAAATATACCTGGAAGACGTTTATCTGCATTATATTGTCAGATATGATAATATTCTTACCCTGAAGGTTATTTATATTGTATTGTTGAATGAGACGATACCACTACCCGGAGAGTCATTTATACCGTATTGTCAAATGAGATGATACCACTGCTCCGAGGGTCATTTTTTTATTTATATTGTCGATTGAGACGATACCACCATCCAAAAGATACCCAGAAGATCACCTATGTTGCTCGGTGAAGCACTATCTTCGTTTGGTACTAGGGATGGCATCATCAGAAGAGAAAAAGTCATGCAACGCGGGAAAGAAATTCATGCATAGCAAGAGAAGGATTCATGCATCGCGGAAAAGAAGTCATGCATCGCGAGAAAAGATTCATGCATTGCAAGAGAAGGAAATCACGCATTGCGAAGAAAAGATTCACGAATATCAAGAGAAAGAGTCATACATCGCAAGAGAAGGATTCATGCATAGCAAGAGAAGAAGTCATGCATCGCAAGAGAAAGATTCATGCATAGCGAGAGAAAGAGTCATACATCGCAAAAAAAGAAATTTACGTACCCATCATAAGAAAATCAACATCGACTGCATCATTTTTCTTTGCAAAAATGACATCAAGAGAACTATCAACAACGATATCAAGAGAAATGTCAACGTATTACATTAGCCTATTCTATTACTTCAACATCAAAGGAAGAGGACATTGAAGATTATATCGAAAATATGAGACACAAGCTTTATTTGCTTTATGTCAAACCAGATGGAGTTGATGTCAAATGTTAAAGGAGAGCAATTAAGTGTCAGGTAAAACACACTGTCTCCCATTTGAATTGCATTTTTATGCTAATGAGTTTTATCTCAGTCTTTGTCGAGAGCATCCGAAAGGATGAATTCTCAAAGCAAACCATAGGTGCGGACGACATCGAAAGGGATGCAGCACAAAGTGGAACTTTTCTTAGCAGCGAACTGGGACATAGTCCAAAGAGGAGTGTCAAACTCTTAGGACACGAGCAGAGGAGTGACTTCCACCACAATCAAACCACACCCCTATCAGAGGCATGTGGGTTTTTCTTTAGGTGTCCTAGCTTCAGTTTCGCATCCGGCAATTTTTTGGTTCACCGGAAGCAGCTTTCCAATCCAAGTTACAATGCGCCAAGAGCTTTGAAAATTATGTCCACGTAAATTCTTGGTTATGGGTGTGAAGCGCACCACGTTCATGACTAAGAGGTTACAAGCCTCCTTTTCATACTCAACTTACTTTGTTGCTTTTCCAGAACCAAAGGTGATTTAGCATAATAGATTCCCTTTTTAACCGATTGAGTCGAACTACAAGCAGCCTAATTCCTTGAGTTGAGGGATATGTAGGCAGAATCGGTGTTGAAACTCGGTTGTACTCCAACATTCTCTCTGAAATCACATCCTTAAGCATTCTGGTACCTTCATAATCCGATATCAGGATGACTTTTGAATTCTTTCTTAATTGGGTGTTAAATCAAGCGTATCGAACTACAAGTGGCCTGAATTCTCATATAGCCTGAGATATGTAGGAAACCCATTTCCAGGGTTCGGCCATAATTCCTAAAGTCTGTACCAAAATCCCTTTTCCAAAAGATGAATATATGGTCGGTCAAAATTGGATTAGTCAATTTCATTTGCCTCGAATTTCTTTCATCAATCCAAGTCAAACGAGGGACAGTTGTTGACACCCAATTTTGTACCTCCACAATATAAATTAATCATTTCGAGCTTCTTCAATTTCAAACAATTTAAAATAATTGGTTTTGTAAAGTTTCAAAAAAATATATATAATAATAAAAATAAAAATAATAATAATAATTATAGTTTGCAAGTTATTTTAAATAGTTTTGTTACCCTTTTGTAATTTTAAATTAACATATATGTTTTATATAATTTAAGTGAGTGTTTTATTAAATTAATTGTGTCTAAATTAGTAGTTTATATTTTGAGTCATTAGTATATTGAGTTAATTATTTTATTTCGTTAAAATTAAAAAGCTCGTTAATTAATTTATATTAATTCATCTTAATTAGTTATTAGCCAAATCCCCTAAACCTATTTGCGATAAACTAAATTTGGGACCTATTTGTAAATCCCACCAACCCACCAAGAACCCAATTCCCATTCTTAATTGTCAGCCCATTATCAATACAATACATCCAACATACCCATCAACCCATTCCATACGTACAATAGCAATGTCCCCAACCCCGGCCCACATTTTAAAACCCCACCCAGCCCTTTCTAATTCACAAAAAGAAAATTAGAAGAGATTTCCAGCAGCCCCAACGTTCTAAAGCAGCTAGCGGACGGCATCTTCACAATTTCCGTCAATTAGACGGAAAGCGGTAGCGGCATCAGTTTGCAGAAAGCATACACTGTGTGCTTTGTCTCCTTCCTCAGATGTCCCTCTCATTTTTGTACCAGTAGCAGCAGCACGCGGCTGTCCCCACTTCCTCTTCCTGAATGGGGATGAAATTTCAGATAAAAGGGTGTTTCCCTTAATTGGTGAAAAGATTTGGGAGTTTGAAATTGGGATTGGCTTCAATTTTTATCCGTTTTCCCCCCCACATTCTGAACGGGAACTCTGGTCTATAATTACCCTTTTTTCCATTCACTGTAAGGGGGAGAATTTTTTAAAACTAATATAGGGGGAGATGGAACATTCATATATAAATATAGCTATATAAAGATACATTGAAAAAAGAGGAGGACGATTACTGGAGTTTTACTTCATTCGCTCAAACTTTATTTTTCCTTTTCTGTCGATTTCATTCCAAAGTGCGTGGTGGTGGTGAAGTCGCTGCTCTGCTCAGTCGGTTCTTAGTTCGCTGCCCCCAAAAAGGTAAGCTTCTTTCGGTCCTCGTCTGATTTTTGTTTGGTTGGTGTTTCATTTGAGAGCCGAAACTCTTCGTTGGATTTTCCTCCTCCTCTCATGAACGTCCCTGTTCTTTTGGTTTGCTGTTGTTGTTTGGTTAAGGATCGTCTAGTCTCAAACTAGCTCGTCTTAGTTGATTAAGGCTTAAAATGGATGTTCTTTCGTGTAAGTTTAAGTCTGAGGACCCTTTGAGCGGTGAACTCCGATTTTATTTCGATTTTGGCATTAATTTGCTTCGTCCCTATGGTTTTGGTCGCTCATTTGTGCTCTAAGTTGCCTTCTCTGTCTGGAATTCTCTTATGTTGTGATAATCTCGTAGAATCTACCACCTTTGTTTCTCGTGTAATTGGAATGCTGCCCGTCCCCTTCATATTTCAGCTGGTAAAGTCATGTCGGCAACCCCCATCGGGTTTGTTTCTTTTTTTAAAAAAAAGGCTTCTAAAGTCTCATATCACTTAGTTTAGCACTACTCGCTTCTTCTTGCATTTAGAGGTAGTCGAGTCTATTTCAAACAATGTCAAGCATGTTTCTTTAGAGGTAGGCAACCCCCATCGGGTTTGTTTCTTTTTTAAAAAAAAAAGGCTTCTAAAGTCTCATATCACTTAGTTTAGCACCACTCGCCTCTTCTTGCATTTGAAGATAGTCGAGTCTATTTTAAACAATGTCAAGCATGTTTCTTTTTGTTGTTGAATTTGACCTTGTGATTTCTGGGAGTTTCTTATAGTCATATGCTTGTGTGATAATTGCTCTTCATTCACCTATTTACTAATTCGTTGGAATTTCTTTAAGTGTTTTGATCATGGTTCATTGGTCATTGTTTCCTTGCAAATCGTGAAGTAGTGTTGGTCTAGTATGCTGACAAGTTCTTTCTTCTGTATTAAATTCCAGCTTGTATATCTTGTATTACCAATAGATCTATTTGATCAAAAAGGGGGGCCTTTCTTATTTTGAAACATAATTTCT